CTTGCTACATAGTGAACCAGTCTCTACATTCGAAGTTAGATGGAGATGTAAATTACAGGGTATGGTCAGGGGAGCATGCAGATTATGAGAGACTCGGAATTATCGGGTGCACAACCTACTACTACGTCAACGAGGGAAAGCTTGATGCAAGAGCCAATAAGGCAATATTCTTGGGATATGCAGCAGGTGTAAAAGGTTATCGCCTTTGGTGTGTAGAAGATTCTAAGTTCATAATCAGCAGGGATGTTATCTTTGATGAGAACTCCATGGTAGCTTCGTTGAAAACTACAGTGCCTGGTGATGATGATGTTGGGACTTCAAAGTCTCAAGTAGTTGAGATAGAACCTAAAGACCAACCAGATTCTAGTCATGTTCAAGAGGAGTATCATGGAAACACTCGAGATGAGAGTGATGATGAGCTTGAACATGAGATGGTTCAGCAAGAGAATGTATGGGCACCACAACAACAATAGCTCGAAGATAGTTTGGCTTCCACTAGGCCAAGGCGAGCATACAAGCAAGTTCAGAAGTTGGGGTCAAACCAGCCTTTGCGGCATTATGGAAGATAAATTTGGTTGAGTACGCACTCTCGGTGGAAGATGATGAGTCGGTCACTTTCAAGGAAGCTATTCGAGACAGCAATAGTGATTGTTGGGTGCCCGCGATGGAAGAAGAGATGGAGTCTCTTCGGAAGAACCAAACATGGGAGGTCGTCCCATTGCCTGTAGGAAAGAAAGCTAATGGTTGTATAAGAAGAAAGAGGATTCTTCCGAGCTCGGTGGTACAATGTACAAGGTAAGGCTAGTGGCTAAGGGGTTTGCACAAAGAGGGGGAATCGACTACAATGAGATCTTTTCTCCGATGGTGAAGCACACTTCCATTCGAGTGCTATTGAGTATTGTTGCTCATAGTGATCTTAAGCTGGAACAATTCGATGTCAAAACAACCTTCTTGCACGGAGACTTGGATGAGGAAATCTAAATGCATAAACCTGAGGGCTACAAGGTTGAGGA